GGTCTACTCTTACGAGCATAGACCTGGGTTGGAGGCCTGGGCAGGCCCTGGAAGTAGGGCTGGGAGCCATTTGGGCTGGGAAGTCCAGGGTTGTGGGTTCCCACAGCATGTTCTAGAAGTGAGGAGCAGAGGCTCCAGGTGGGCACTTCCTAGAGGCCTTCGGACTCCTCAGCCAATAGGGAGGGACACAGCCAGAGGAGGCCAGTGGGGTCCTCTGCCCAGCTTTAAGGCAGTACTGGTATTTGGTACTTTTCTTGAAAATAGCCCCTGTGAGGAAATTGGGGGTCTTGGAAGAGTTAGCCCCATATCAGAACTGGAGAAAAAGGCCGTCTACTGTGCAGATGCAGTGGAGCCTAAGTTCTCTGACTTTTAGTCTAGTTCATTTTCCACTTATTCCACGCAAGGTGTGCAAGTCCACAAAAACAGCTCACCTGGGTATACCTGTATCTGGTTACAGCCATGTAGAGCATAGATTTGAGGGTATATGTTGGATGTACTTAACTTGAAGGAATGAACATCTTGAAAGTTCATGTAAGATTTGGATAATTGGTCTTTGTAGATTAGGTGCGTAATCTATATAAAATGCTGTGGAGAGTTTAACCACCTTAATTTGCCTAAAGAGTATTTTCTGGGGGGTGGGAGTGGCAAGTTATCAATTTTTCTCAATGGAATCTTGTTTAGCTTAGCTTGGGGGCTCAATGTTTAAAGTAAGTGAGATAAACAGAGGACACAATCATGCCTGTAATTGACCTAATGGTTTGATTTCAATGACAATGTTTTAAAGAGCATCCATACTTGTATTGTTGTGTTGACATTTGTACATCATGCTGTGTTTGCCTGAAAGGTGTCTTGGTTTCCTAGGGCTGCTGTAACAGAAATACCACAAGGGGGTGGCTTTAAAGAACAGAAATTTATTTTCTAACAGTTCTGGAGGCTAAAATTCCAAATCAGTGTCTCAGCTGTGTCGATTCCTTCCTTGTCAGTAGCCCTGGCCACTCCTTGGTTCCTTGGCGATCCTCACATGGCATCTGTCTTCCCTGGTGTGTGGTTCTGTCTAATCTGCTTGGTATAACTCAGAAGTGATTAGGTTTAGGACACATCTCCTACACTGGTATGGCTTCATTAACATAACAAAGAAAACCCTATTTTCAAAAAGGATTAAATCCACAGGTATAGAGGTTAGGATTCCAACACATATATTGAGGGGGGACACAATTCAATCCATAACAGATATTATGATGCAAGGATCTCTAGAAAGCTCTATTTTTGTAGCCAGGGTGTGCACTGAACCCCTGACAATTTTCCCCTGACTGTCCCCTTGGTCAAGCCTACCAGTAAAAGCGAAAAATATCAGATTTTAAATTTTACTCAGTAGCACGAGTATTAGAAAGGACTGAGAGGCAGAAATCATATCTGCTTTTTCCACATAATCCTCTTCCTACCTAATCCTTCCCGCCCGCCTCCCCTCTCCCAGGATGCAGGCTTGTGTCTTCATAGCCTGTGGTTTCCTGGCTCCATCCCGGCAGGATGACTGCAGGCGATTCCCTGCCGCGTCAGTCTGGAAAGTGGGAGGTGGGCAAGGTGTCGTCTGAGGCTGGAGAGGAGAGACTTTTCAAAACCAGCCACAGGCAGCAGTGACCCTGTCCTTCCAAGTCAAGGTGGATTTGCCTCTGCGATCACTGCCAGTGCAGGATGTTTGGGCTGCTCTGTGGGAATGTGGCGGGAGGGTAGAGAAGGGCCTAGAGTGTCACTTACGTAAGGGTTGAGGTGCAGAGGGCCTTGGGGAGACCTCTGAGGAGGCTGTCTGAGGAGATACCCTTAGGTGGGTTAGACACCAAGTGGGGGGCAAAGTGGGGTTTCCCGTTCTCGGGGGCTTTTGTTCACTGACAGGGAAGTCCCCTTGCCCCTTCTCCTCCCCCTTAGACTTCCCTAAAGCCCCCTGACACCCTGTGTCATCTACATTTGGTTTACAGAGGATGATGCCCTTTGAGCAGAGTCTCCAAGTCTCTTGATCATCATTGGGCAAACCACACTGGTGAGGGGAGCTGAGTCACGGGCACATGATTTACAGCTGGGCGGTGAGGGGACCATACTCGGCTGGGTGAGGATGTGATCTTCCAGACCACCCCCTTACCTCTGCTTTGTTGCCTCTCCTCCTAGGCTCAGGGCTTCTCTCTCACGGCCCTCCACACTCATTCTGTATCTTTGAGGATCGTGCATTTGTTTTGGAGGGAGAGCGTACATGTCAGGGATTGATGCTTTCTGTGTCCAGACTAAGCGTCTTTTATGTGGGTATCTGAGTGCTCCTGGGTGTGGTGGTGTGAGGAGTCAGAAAGCTCAGCAGTGGAAAATGTTGAATGTTCAGAGGAGCAGGTGAATACAGCTCGCCCATTTGCATTTTCCCTTTCGCTCTGACTCATCTTCCCCTCTCCCCACCCCATCGCCCCTCCACCAGCCCCACCCATTGGCACACCCCGTCTTATCTAGGAAGGGTTAACACCTGCTCACACCCAAGCTAGAATGACAGGGAGAGAGAAGACGTGGTAGGCAGAGGGAGAGAGTAGGTTGGTCTGCATATTTGGGGTCCTAGAGCCAAAGGGAGACACAGGAGCTTAGACACAGAATTTGAGTCTAAGAGGGGACCCGGATCTGAGGTGGAAACCGAAGGGGAACCAGACTGTCTTTTTTGTTACCAGAACAGCTACCAGTACCTGACATCTTGTTTATTTTCCAATTATTTATTGGGCACATATGATATGGCAGACACACATTGTAACTGCTTTATCGGCATGTACTGAAGGAATGTAAAATCTGCTACAGGAGCAGGGATAGTAGAATAATAAGAAACAGAAAAAGAAACTCGAGTCTCTCAGACCTCATCCCTTCCCCAGATTAAAGAGGGCTAAAACGAACAGGGGAAATCTCCAGGGACTTTGACCTTCTGGGCAGGAAGTGAAAGAAACCCTGAGTCCTGATTTCAGAGAAATGTCATTTGTCATCAACCCAAGAAAAGGAGTTTCTCTCTTCGAAGACCACCGCAGGCCCTTCCTGGGGTTGCCCCTCCAGACCGTGATGGGAGGCTCTGAGTTACTCACGTTCAGTACCCCATGGTGGCCCAGATGACAGGGGTCGTTCCTACAGAGCAAGCAGGGCTTCCCAGCACCGACAGTCAGGGACAGGAAGGAGGAATACCTTTGGGCCTCCCTCCTCCTCTCCCTGGAATCCAGTTGTTTCCATCCTTTTTCCTTCTGAGGTAGGAGTAGAAACAGCTTCCAGCTACAACAGCTCTATTGGCACCTCTGAGAAACAGAATACTATTTGAATGATGCTACGCGCTTACAAACCGCTTTCACATTCACCACGTCATATCACCTTCACCCCCACCTCCGAGTGGCAGAAGCAGAAATTATCCCCATTTCATGGATGAGGTAACTGAGGCTCAGGGAGGTAACTTGTCCAAGATGACTCAGCTAGTAAATGGCAGAGATGAGACTCAAATGCCAGTCTGACTACTCCAAAGTCCTTGCTGCCTCTGATACACTTCTTGGACTCTAGTTCACACATGCAGTCAGGAGACAGGAGGTAAGGAGGCAAGATGTCTGGAAGTAGAGGGTGGCCTCTCCCGGAGGGGTGAAGCAGAGCTAGAGGTATAAAACCACACCCCCTTGGGGGACTGTAGCAGACTGAAACTTGGGACATCCAATGGAGGACGGCGAGGTCAGGGGTGGGGCCAGCTTTGGGGGGGCCACCCCGAGCCCGACCAGCAGCTCAGAGCATGCGGTGTCCAGTGAGGAAGCGACAACTGGTGAGTGGTTGCTTCTCTCCAGCTGAGGCTTTCTCCCCACACTATGCCTCTTCTGTTCCCTCCCTGCCAACATGCAGCCCTCTTCTGGAGGTGTCCAGGTAGTAGCCCTCCTTCCCACAAGGGTCCTTGCTCACGGTGAGCCTGCCCCTAGGAATGCGGCTGTTGGGTATTGAGACACTTTGGTTCTATTTCTCTTTGTATCTGGGTTCCTAGTGCTCTTATTGAAAGCCAGTGTGGTTTTGATTTGTGAGAAACTCGTGCTTTGCTGGGTTCTGTCTTTCTATTCACTTTCTGGCTCATGAACACAGAATTAGACCATCTTCGTATCCTAATCTTGAGAGCAAACAGCCTCCCTCTGTACAGTTTCCATTTCGCTTTCTCTCACTTCCTCAGGGGTCAAAGCCTTCTCCAAAACCTTTCTCCATCCTTGGATCAGGAGCTTTCTCTCCTGTGGCTTCTCTGCACCTGCTCTCTTAACTCACTGGATGGGAGTTTTTGGTCCTATCCAGTTCCTGCTCTGAAGATGCATTCTAGACGCTTCAGCCTGAGGGGGATGAGCGACTGACGGATGGCTTCTAGCCTGCCCTCCTGCAGCCATGGCCCTTGTCTTGCTGCCCTCTTGGCTTCTCAGTAGCCTCAGCACCACTGGACGGGCCCGTGGAAGGTGAACACACCAGCTTTCCAAGCTCCGCCTGCGAAGCTCTCTCTTGCTCCCTCCCTAAATGCCAGGGCTGACTGGGTTTTGTGATGATCGCTTGGTCTGGAATGAGGAAAGCCTGGTATGCTCAGAGGTCTTTCCTTGCAGAGGGACTTGAAGAAGCAGAAACATCAATGTCTGCTGTCCATTAAGCCAGATTGTCAATTGGCAGACCCCACATACACTAGAGCCTTAAATCAACTACTTGGTATTTTTGTGAATTGCCTGATCCTTGCTCTTTAAGTCTAAATTTGGCCTAATTTCCATTCCCCCACCTCGCCACCCGTTATGATTCTGGATAAGCTCAGGTCCTCTCTTGGGCTACTTTATTTGGTCCATTTCAGGACAGAGCTCTGATCCAGGACCAGCAACTCACTCTTTCTCCCCTCACCTCCACAGGCTTGAGAATATGCCGTTCCTCCCTCCCTTTTCCACCATGGAGCCCACACTGTGGCCTTCCTCTCAGAACCTCTGAGATTGGTACCCAGACAAGGCACAATGTCCCTACCCCCCGTGAGACTGCCCAGCCCCTACGCCTCTGATCGGCTGGTGCGGCTGGCCGCCAGGCTCCGGCCAGCACTATGTGATACCCTGATCACTGTGGGGAGCCAGGAGTTTCCCGCTCACAGCCTGGTGCTAGCAGGTGTGAGCCAGCATCTGGGTCACAGGGGCCGGTGGGCTCTGGCAGAAGGCATCAGCCCTTCCACCTTTGCCCAGCTTCTGCACTTTGTTTACGGGGAGAGTGTGGAGCTGCAGCCTGGGGAGCTGGGAGCCCTTGAGGAGGCGGCCAGGGCCCTGGGGGTCCAGGCCCTGGAAGAAGCATGCAGAAGGGCTGGAAGGGACAGGGCTAAAAAGGAGCAGGATCCAGGGCCGAAGAAACATCAGGAGGAGCCAGACAAACCCTCGAGGGATTCTGGGAAGGATCTGGGGGGCCTTGGAGAGAAACAGAGGCAAGAGTTTTTCAGAGCTGGTGGGAGAGAACAGGAGCCACTGCACAAGCATGGGCCACCAGGAGAGAGCCCTGAGGTGACAGGGGCGAGGCGAGAGGGTCAGGGGGAACAGATGAGATCCAAGGAGAAACTTGGCCAATCCTCAGTTGGCCACGGGGGAGAAGATGGGAAGCCAGGAGCCATGTGGCTGAGGGACAGCCCAGGGGGCTCTGAGGACAGTCTGTGGGAGTCCCCTAGTCCCCTTCCCCCGCCAGGTTCCCTCCAAGCCAGCGTCATGCCCAGGCCCTGGTGGGCTGAGGCCCCTTGGTTGGGGGAGGGCCAGCCTACCCTGCAGAGCATCCTGCTGTTGCCGCCCAGATATGGCACTCCCTTCTCCCATAGCACCCCCATCACTGGAGCCTGGCAGGAGGTCTGGCCTCGGGACCAGAGGTGAGTGAAGGGACTAGTGGAGATCTCAGAAGCCGGGAGGGAGTGGCCCAGGAGAGGCAGAGGTGATGGGTGGAAGGGCACCACACCTCTTATGTCTTCTGTACATTTCCTGAGCAGGGGATGAGACAGGAAGCTCAGCGCTCAGCCCCTCAGAAGGTCCCAGGACACCCCTCTCCCCAAGAAGGGGCCAGGGATGGCCAGGCTCTTAGGTTTTGCCAGGGCTGTAACTCTTCCCCCACACCCCTCCCAGGATCCCACTGCCCCTGAACCTCCAGAAGGGGCTCTGGAGCCAGAACCTGTTGGCCTCCTCCAGCCCCACCCCAGGTAAGCCCCTCACTGCCCTGCACACGTGCTCTAACGTGGTCTCTCCTCTGGGGATGAGACTCAGGAGTCTATACTGAGCTGGACCCCCACCTCACCCTGCTCCCTCCAGGTTCCCTTCCCCAGTGCACCCCCCCTACCCCACAGCTCAGCCCTGGGGAGATGGAAGCATCTGATCAGGGCCACACAGGTGAATAGGGTGGGGGCACTTTTGCCTCAGCCCCACTGTAGCCCCTGATGTTTTGCCTGGGTGTTCCTGTGACCCAGCCTGGGATGACGTACCTTGCCCTGCTTAGTCTCCTCTGTCCCCACAGGCTTGATTGCAACCTGTGTGGGTCATGATGGCAAAGCTGGCCGCCTATCTCCCCAACATCCTTCCCCGCCCCCTCCTGCTCGGGTTCGGCCCTATTCTTGCTCTGTCTGTGGAAAGAGGTTTTCACTCAAGCATCAGATGGAGACACACTACCGAGTCCACACAGGTATGGGCATCCAGCCCAGCGTGAGTTGCCTGCTTCCTTCGCAACTCCCGTCTGCCCGTTCCCAAGTCCCCCTCTGCGTGCCCCTAGCTTGGCCGGCCTTTCCCCGTCTTCCCTCCTCCACCGGGCTCCCCCTCTGCCCGCCCTAGGCGAGAAGCCCTTCTCCTGTAGCCTCTGTCCTCAGCGCTCCCGGGACTTCTCCGCCATGACCAAGCACCTACGGACGCACGGGGCCGCGCCCTACCGCTGCCCTCTGTGCCTGGCCGGCTGCCCCAGCCTGGCCTCCATGCAGGCTCACATGCGCGGCCACTCGCCCAGCCAGCTCCCGCCGGGATGGACCATTCGCTCCACCTTCCTCTATTCCTCTTCTAGGCCATCCCGGGCCTCGCCTTCTCCCTGCAGTCCCCCTTCCTCCACCACCTGACAGGGTGTCTGCAGCTTCTTTGGCCTCAGCCTAGATTCTAATGAAAGAATGATTCGCGGGCCAGCAGGCCAGCTTGGCTCCTGACTGGGCACCGCGGCGGCGGTCTAGCAAATGTGGCTCCAGAAGCGCCGCAGGAAGGGCGCCTAGAGCCCTCTCCCGGACGACTGCGGGTCGCAGAAGCCTGGGCCAGAGAGCCCGAGTGGGGTGAGGACAGTGAAGTTTGCACGAGTAAAGGTCAACTGTACTGGGTCTGGCGATTGCGTGTCCGTAATAAAGCGGTTCCTGTGCCCTCCTGTCAGGACAAGAAAACCGAGTCCAGACTCTAGTCTGTGCGCGCGCGGGGCGGGGGATGGGAGGCAATTTTGCCCCTTGTCCTGTAGCGGCCCCTGGTGGCCGTGCGTCCGCTGTTCAACGCGACGGCCACCTTCTCCATCCCCCGGGGCGTCCCATCCTCTCCCGGAGGCAGTGGGCTGCGAGGGCTCGATGTCCGGGCAGACTTCGCAGCAGGCCCTGGGCGGCTGTGAGATCCGAAGTCACCCGCCCCTTCTACAGCAATCAACGGCCCACGGGCACGTTTGGCGCAGGGCTCCAGAGGAATGCGTGCTCCGCCCTGCTTTCGGCCATCCGCCTCCTCTTCCTGAGCACAAGACCCCCCACCCCCCAGGCGCGGTCTCTCGCAGAACCTCCCTACAACCGCGCCGACCGGCCGCCGGGCAGTGTCTCGAGCGGAGACCATCCCTCGGCCGCCGCTTCTCCCCAACCCACGCCTCCGGCAGTGGCGAACTTCATTTCCCGGCGTCTCCGGGGTTCCCAGCCGGAGGTCCGCTGCACTCTGGGAGTGATAGTCCGCGCGGGCCACTTGCCCCGGAGTGAGCAACAGGAGGAGTCGGTGCGAGGACCACGCCTTCCGGCGGCCCCCGCGCCGGCCTCCCAGGCCCTGCTCGGGACTCCACAGCCCCGGCTTTCGCCCCGCTAGTCCCGGCGGAAGGAGCGAGGCGTCTGGACTACACTTCCCGGAGGCCCCCGCGCCTCGCTCCTCTCCCCACTGCCGGCCACGACACGGGGTCCGCACTCTCAGGGCGGGCGGAGTGACGGCCGGCCGGCCGGCCGCGGACTCCCGCTCCCGTGGTGCCC